AGGATGATGTGGATGTTCACAAGGATGCCCAAGGAGAGCTGCGCCAGCACAGCATTCTGCAGGACGGCTAGCACGAACCATCCCATCAAAACAGTCCTGACAGAGGACATGTTGTCCACATGTCAAAAACACAGCAGGACGTGCTAGCCGGTCGCAGCCGGCGTGGTGCAGCCACATGTCAAAGGTAAGAACATCATCAATGAAATGTAAAAGCATATCGGCGAGCAGCAGAGGGATCCACACGCTGCAGGTTGTCCACGTACTGCGCCTCATCCCAATAGAGTGTAAGATTGGCAATCTCAGGACCAGCGTTTGTGCCCATAGGGATACCAACATCTTGATGACGATCAATAAGCAGTTATGGGTGTTCATTTTTGTGCACCATTCAGCGACCAGCCAGTCATAGAAGGGAAGTTCCATCCGTCCCTTGGGAGACAGGGTGATTCTGTGGACCGCACAAACACACACACACACCTTGCTGTCCAGGCTTGACAAGTGGACGACAACTCCATCTGGATCAATCTCGTTCACAAGAAAATCCGAGTACCTGCAAGCAGAACAAAAAAGTGCCCAATCAGAACCAAGTTCAACAAACCCGTCAAAGTCAAAGTCTGCACCAGCCAGTCTCCAGTCTCTTCTCTCGATACAGACTCAACAAAGGGCAGCAAGCACAGCAATGGGAACCTAAAGGCTAAAGCAGATTTCCTGAGCAAGTATTTCTGTTGACATCCAGCAAACTGAACCTTCAACAGGAAAGAGAACTGAGTTTTAGAGGTCCGCTACAAACTCAACCTTCAACAGCAAAATGGAAAGTTCCTATTCGCCTTGACATTGAAGTTTCGACTTTCCAAAGAAAAAAGAAAACCGAACTGAGTTTCCATGTTCTGGCAGCGACATCGAGGGGCATACTCACAGTATGACTTTTTTACTTATTTCTGGACGTAATTATGGTCAGATACATCAAGGTGTGGTCGTACATGCAGTCAGATACATTTTAAGAAAGAGCTAGTGTGAGTACGCCCTGAATGAACCAGAGTACTTACCTATTAGAAAAGAACTCGGAACTTCCTACTAGAAACTTGTACTTCCTACTAGAAACTGGCACTTCCATCTACACACTTGGTAGTACTTTCAACTAGAAACAAAAGGGAAAACAGTCTGCCCCGGAGGATTGGGAAACGGGGGGAACAGTGACAGACTTTCATATAACTCCCACCCACTCACCAGGATGGCTATTGTCGCCGAGAACAGGGCGGTCCACCATAGAAGAGAGAGGAGAGGAAGGGAGAAAAGGACATGTAAAGGGGAAAGGGGGGCTGTGACAGACTGTTTCATCAGAATTTCACGGACTCGTCAGGAGGGGCTGAATGCAACGCTTAACAGTCTGCACAGTCCCTAACAGATGCTGATATTGTCTAAGTGATAATCCCTAACTTAAACCACCAACACACCCAGGTCTGGAGGCGCTCCACTGCGCACCAAGCCTTCCCCAACCGCCAGCGGCACACTTATTTTCTCATTTGGCTTGCACTGCTTAGCCATTGTGGTCCAGTAGGCCCGTGGCGCGAAATTTTCCTACGGTTGTGGGCGACGAAATATTTTCAGCAAGGATGGGCCCGTGTACTGGCGGTTTAAGCCCAGTGGTGGGAGGTGGGTACCGACCCGCTGCCCCTGAATTGATAGCCCAAGCAAGGTGGGTCCCAACCGCTGGCCCTTAACTGATCGCCCGAGGTGGGTACCAACCACTACCCCCCCTTAGGGGTAGCTGTGACGAAATCCAAGCAGACTCCCACCCCATCACAAGCCAGCAAAGCCCCCATGAGAAGAAGAAATCTCTGCCACAGGCAGGAAGTGCACTCAGACACACCGCTGGCGCTAGAGAGGCACAACATGCCCGCCTGCCTCGTTACCTGCCGCTTTCGAGAAGGGAGCCCAGCAGGTTCAGATTCGCACTTAGAGAATTTTAGACAGTTTTCTTTGTTCTTTGTCTCAGAAGGAGCTATATTTGTCTCAAAAGGAGCTAGCCACTCCGGACCCATTACTGCACCGGCGGACCTTCGCCGAAAGGTCACCATTTGCATCCATCTAATTGGTCACGATTTGAACTCATGAGCTGTTGATTAACCCCCCTCCCCCTCCCTCTCTCAGATTATTGCATCCATCGAACTGATCGCGATTTGAACTCATGATCTGTTGATCTACAAACAGTTCACACGTGTGCACCTTTCAGCCGCATGGGCTGATCGACAAACAGTTCACGTGCCCTCTCAGATTATCGCATCCATCGAATTGATCACGATTTGAACTCATGATCTGTTGATCTACAGACAGTTCACACGTATGCACCTTTAAGCCACATGGGCTGGATAACTTCGACAGTTATTCACCACTCATGATCACTCATGATCTTTTGATCGACAAAAAGTTCACGGGTGCCGCCCCCCCCCCCCCCCCCCCCCCCCGCCTTTTCTCACATTATTGCATCTGTCAAGTTATCTATTTTTTATGGTAATCTGCCTGTTCAAAAAGTAGCAAAAAAAAGTATACTTATTTCGACAAAGAAAAGAGTGACCAGGATTTGAGCTTGTGATCTGTTGATCGGCAAGCAGTTCGCATGTGTGTGTGCACCTTTCAGCCACATGGGCTGGATACCTTCGACAGTTATTCACCCATGGCGGACGCATCAGGCTACACAAAGCCCATGTTCTGAATGATACACCCACGTTAGCTGTTTGTTCATCAACAGTTTTTTTTTTTTTTTAATGTGGTCCGATGGACCACGGATCAGATATTAAACTGATCAAAAAAAAAAAAAAACAGAACAGATACTACACTTGATCTTAACCAAAAGGCCTGAGAAAGGTATTCATCAACAGGTTCAGCTGTTCGGAGCTTACCCCTTAAAAAAAAAAAAAAAAAAAAAAAAAAAAAAAAAAAAAGGGAAACTAAGGAGAAGAAGAACCAGCTCGAAGAAGATTCCACCCTTCAATCAACCTGGAGGGGAAAAAAAAAAAAGCACCGACTTTCGACCTCACTGCCCTCATGTTGAATCCTATGAAATTGAAAATCTCCTTCCTTCCCACGGTGAAAAAAAAAAAAAAAAAACCAACAACAACACCCTGCTGCGAAGGCATGGACAGTTGTTTCAGGCTGAGACCACAACACCGTACATAGGAACATTGAGCCCTCAAGCTGACAACCCAGGAGCTTGTCTTTTATAACCTGCAGAACAGCAGCTTGCGAGCCTCAAACTGGGCGGGGGATTGGGGTTGGGGGGGGGGGGAGAATGATTCAACATGAGAGTCAATATCTATGGTACTCAAGTTGAGACTGCAGCAACTCAACTTGAGTGAGACGTAACTCGCAGCCCCTCAAGCCTAAAATGCAGCAGCTTGAAATCTTTTTTTTTTAATCTTCGTCCCAGTCCCTCAAGTAACCAAAAATTAAAAATTAAAAATCCTAATAGTATCAACAATGATTCTACATACTTCAGAATCTGTTAAAATACAGAGCCAAGTGCGAATCCACAGGACGGAACCATATGAATGGGGGGGGGGGGAACCTTCGGAATCTGCAGCATGCAGCAGCCCTCAAGCTACGTAAATGCGGCCGTTTGATAATAACCTCCTCTGCCGTTTGCGACCGTTAAGAGGATGATAACTCGTGATGATAAGTTCAGGAAAAAATGATGCAACCGGGGGCCAGCCAAGTTCCACTTGGCCAAGTGGATTCGTCATTTCTGATCGTTGATCTTCAACATCAACAGTCAGAAAAGGGAAGGGATTTCCGGTGAACGAAACTTAGCCCCCGTTAGCTGAGAGTGAGGGGGTACTCATTCACAGTAGCCCGATCATAAATGCATCGGACTGCAGTTACGGCCCGACCTGTATGCATCTGGCCCACTGGCCCAAATTCCATCCAGAAAAGAAAAACGTAAAAAAAAGTGCTAGGGTGAGTATGCTCTGAGTCAAATTTTCAGACTGTAGCAGCAGCTCGACAGCTTACAGCCCACAAAGTTGAGATGTTCTTTTCCTTTCTTCTTCTACAAAACTTTTTTTTTTTTTTTTTGGACAAAATGCTGACTCAGCGGAATGGTCCCAAAGGGACACAAATAGTTAATGAGGGGTGCCACTTGGGGTGGGACCGCTCATTAATGGCGGGATCGGGGTTGGTTTTGGTCCCGTAATGGTTCCACTATGCCTGCTCGGGGAGTTCATGACGGGTGCCACTTGGAGTGGGACCACGGGGTCGGGGTCGGGGTCGGGGTCGAGGTCGGGGTCGGGGTCGGGGTCGGGGTCGGGGTCGAGGTCGAGGTCGGGGTCGGGGTCGCGGTTGTTGTCCTAGAATGGTCCCACTCTGCTTGCTCGGGAACTCATGCTGCTCGTGATCATGAGTGGGGGTGCCATCTGTGCTGTGCTCAGTCATCTTCTTCTTCCCTCCCTATTCTCCCTTCCCCCTTCTCTGCTCTGCCCCAACATCTTTCTCTTCTCCCTGTTCTTGTTTCTGCCTGCCCGGCCATCTTCTTTGCTGATTTCAAACTTCAATCTTCTTCTTCTGCCCTGCATTCAACAGCATTCCGCTCTCGCAGACGAATTCCTCCGTCTCCCTGTGATGGCTCAACAGCATCTCTCTGCCTGCCTCCAGTTGTGCGTGTCTTCACTCTCCCTTCTCCCTCCCTCTATCGTCCCCTTCCCCCTCCTCCTCCTTCTCCTCCTTTCCCCGCCCTACCATCGACGCCTTGTCCTCCTTCAAAGAAGAAAAGAGAAAACAAACAGAATTGGTCATCCCCTAACCTCATTCTACACAACAGGATTCCAACTCTTCCTCTCTACCTCCTCATCCTCCTTGTCCCCTTCTCCTCTGCCGTCGCCTTCTTCTTCTTCTTCTTCTTCTTCTTCTTCTTCTCCTCCTCCTCCTCCTTCTTCTTCTTCTTCTTTTCCTCCTCCTCCTCCTCCTCCTCCTCCTTATTTTCCTCCTCCTCCTCCTCCTCCTCCTTATTTTCCTCCTCCTCCTCCTCCTCCTCCTCCTCCTTCCTCCTCCTTATTTTCCTCCTCCTCCTCCTCCTCCTCCTCCTTCTCGGAGAACATGCGCTTTTCTACTGACAATGTGCATGCGGATATGTATTGCGTATCTGTTCGTGCATGTGCGAGAAGCAGTCTATGGCCACTGCTTGTCACTATTCTTCTTCTTCTGCTGCTGCTGCTGCTGCTGCTGCTGCTGCTTTTGCAACGAATGTGCATGGTCAAAAAAATCACAGCATTGTGTTTTCAACACTTTCTCGACTTTCTGCTAGAGTAACCATCAAACATTGAGGTATGTGTGCGCACAACTCTCGCCCTCTCGCTCGCTCGAGGAGCGACATGAGCGACAGAATCCATCCCCACAAACGTCCTAATCAATTGTTCACCCTACGCAATTCAAGCAGCCATGAGCGACAGATCCATCCGCACAAACGAGGCTCTGCCATCGCCTGAACGCAGCAAGCAAGCTTTCCTTCAACTCCAACTCCCCCCCCCTTATTCATTGTTCCCTCCCCCAACAATTTACCTGTTACTCTCCTCCCGAGTCCCAACCCACCCCCCCCCTCTCCTTCTTTTTCCTTCCCTGCATACAGACAAACCAATCGGCCAGTGCGGTCGGCGCCTGCCTTCTTCTCCTTCGATTGCAATGAAAAGCGCCATGTTCCAGCATTACTAGGCCCTAGTTGCACTACTCGCCATTGGCCAAAATTCTGAATGAATCTCAACACGGAAATGTGTCCTGATGCATTCAAAATGTTGGCGATTCTGAATGAATCTCAACACGGAAATGTGTCCTGATGCATTCAAAATGTTGGCGGATGGCGCGTAGTGCAACTACGTAGGCCCTTAGTGTGTCAATCAAACAGAAAACAGAAGCGACTGCTACATCTAGGAATCAACAGCTTACCGTAAGACACCTCCATAAAGAGACAAGACCCATCAAAATTGAAGCCCCATCTTCTTTCTGCACTCACCGACCCATCAACAACGATAGAGAGGGGTCGAAGAGAATACAGAAAGAAAGAAAAGGATAGAGGAGAATACGCGATCCGGGGTAAATAGGGGAAAAAAAAAAAAAAAAGGGAAACAACAGTGAGAGATCGAAGGCACAGCAAGCAGGGAAGGAAAAACAGGAGGAGGAATGTGGTGGGAAAGGGGCCCGAAGCCCCCCCCGGGTGGGAGGGGAGAGGGGGGGGGGAAGGATTTCGAAGGGGCATTTTGGGTGGGAGGTAAAAGCGGGGATAACGAGAGGACAGGAGGAGAGAAGAAACTTGCATCACATGACCACAACATAAATAAACACTTTTTTGGTACCATTCTATAGAAATAAAATTAGTATTAATAATAACATTATTAACAATAATAAATAACAATTATAATACTGTGCAACGGATATAAAGACACAAGGAAAAGGGAGAGCAGGATAAGAAGCAGGAGAGGAGTAATCGGTAATAGACGGTGCACCTATGTTTGAGGATGGCCTTAAATCCAGGCAGAGCATTTGCATAACACGTGATCCCAACAGATTCTTCAGTTGACATCCTATCTGACCACGTGTCGTAATCAACGGCCAGAAATCGCCGGCTGAATCGTCTGGGGATGCCAAAAAACCGGCCCAGGCCAAGATCTGCACAATCTTCTGTAATTGGCTGTAAGTTTATTACAGTGAACTGGGCACACGCAGATTTCCCCAGGCAACGCCTCGCCCTCCCCCTTGATACGAACGCAGGGTTTCCCAAATAACCCGTCGGACTAATTGCCCTTGGCGGCGGCTGATTGAATCGTAAGGGTAAGGGGGGGATATCAATATCAAGAAGCCGGGCAGAAAATGGGCATAAGCGCCCCAACGAGAAGGCCTGCGGTGGGCCCGACACGCCAATTACCGGTAGGTGTCCATGTCCAGCAAGAAGATCAGTGACGCAGCCGGGAGACAAGCTCAGCACGACCGACGCCCACCTACGTGAAAGAGGAGGAGGAGGAGGAGGAGGAGGAGGAGGAGAATGGAGAAGATGGGGATGTAAGGAAAGAGAGAGAAAAAGTCGAAGAGTATGCCAATAAACTAGAAAGCTGCGAAATCGGCACCCCATACAAAGGAAGCGCACGCTATTCCCACCCCCACCTCGTCCATTTATGGCCTCCGTTGCTTCAGAAGCTGATTGGGGATTCAGAATAGCAAACGCCAGTCTAACCCCCGTCAATTGATCACACGAATACCCTTTTTTTTTTTTACAGTGTTATTATTGTACATAGGTTATGCCAGGTCTGCCACGTCGGTACATCCTGACAGCGTTGGCGTCAAAAAGATGCGCGATGCGCGAGATCGCGCTTGGTTTCTATAGCGATCACAGCTGTGCACCACCGCAGTGGGGGTAACACACGTCCCGCAATGGGCCGTTGGCACCCGTCACCCGTCAATCTGCTTGGCCCCCTCAGATTAAAGGAGATACAATAATAAACGTTAGGGCCTACCCCTTTTTGAAAAACCGGGCCGCACGTTGCGCGACCCATCGGGCCCAAGCGGGACCGGGAAACCTTGACCGCCTCAGACGGCCCGGTCGCGTCGGTGAATTTTCGTTTTGCCCTTCAAAGATGCCCGTACTCCTGAATTGCCCCAGAAATGCCTGCGTATACCCGAATGCTCTTTTGTGCGCTTCATCTTTGCGTTAAGCCCTTGTCAGACTGCTGTGCACTTTTCGTCCTGCCCCTCCGCCCGCCCCAGATGCCTGGCACAGCATAGTTCCTCATCCAGTTTCCCCCATCAGCAGTTGTGCAAAATTTTGGAACTTTTTGGAAATTTTTGGAACTTTTTGGAATACCCAGCGCCATACGAGTGGCAGCACTTTTGCTGCCCAAATTCGGAGTTGTGAACAAGATGGATGGGCCACCATTTTTCTGCAATGTGGTGTGTGCCGCCGTACAGCGCAAGTCTCAGGGATAGGCCTATGGAGCAAAATGGATGGTGGAACCACCCAAAAGGAGGCCCATGCAGTTCATTTCTTTTTGGTGCAAAGGGTGTTTCTAGTGTCAGGAAAATGTGGCTGGGAAATACTGGTGGTTTAACCACCAGTACTTGGCCCAGCTATCGGCCGCCCAAAAAAATAGAGTAGAAAGTACTAGAAATGTTTCTGGGCGCTCTTGTAGTGGCCCGGACGTTCCAAAAATTGTGACTTGTTAACGGGCACAACTTTAGGAAGTACTGGTGGTTTAACAAATTCAGAGGGACGGCTGATCATGGAAAAAAGATGCGGCCTTGGGTTCCATGTCCGTGCCAAGACGACAAACCCACCTAAGCTCAGCACAGCCATGGGTACTGTCTTCCCCCCAACATAACGCATATGCATAGTATTCAAGTTTCCGACAAATTCGTAAATTCGAATAGAGCGCATACGCATTGTATTTGAGTTGTTTGAATACAACGCATGTGCGCTGTATTCAAATAGAAAGCAGCCTATGCATTGTATTCGTTTACAACGCATGTGCGCTATGTTTGGGGGAAGACGGTCGCGATGCCCCCTAGCCCGTTCGGAACCTAGAGGGATGCTCTTATCACCTCCACTAATAGGCTTCTCACAGATGATTCACATAGAAAAAAGAGGAGGGGGCGGAGGGGCAAGGACCGGTCTGGGGCTGAAGGGGAACAGTAGGATCTTGATGCGCCCATCTTGGAACTGAGATGCAAAAGAGATGGAATGGCATCCACCTTCATGGGAGGCGACCGCCCTTGAGAAGAACATGAGGGCAGTAATTGACACACAAAACTGCTTGTTGCCCTCCTGGTGAGAAATGGAGGCAAAGGAAGATGAGAGACAATGGAAGAAAGACAACAAGCAACAAGATTCAATCGGAGGGATGCGTCAATGACGAGCAATGACTTTCAACATGATGCACGGTCGGGGATGGAGAAAAGAAGATGGGGGTTCAATTTTGGTTTATAAATTATCTTGATTCTCCTTTGGCAGCAAGAGCTTGAATCACAGAACGCCACATCAGAAACAGGTCTAAGGTTGCCACTGGCAGCACGTTTGAGAGCCCAGCTAAGAGAGTTTTTTATCCCTGAAGATACATGAAGTATTGTTTGAGCGTTTGAGATCGAGATCGCGATCGTGATTGTAATTGGGTTCAAGATCGCGATCGTCATCACATTAACAATCGTTACGACTAGTATGGGATCAAAATTTTGATTGTTGGGGTCACAACAGAAGCTAGTGGTCTAAGGATCAATAAAAAGCTTTATAACAAAGGAAGATCTCAAATTAGTAAGCGAGCATAATATTGACCATGATGAAAGGTATTAGATCAAAAGTTTAATCGTTGGGATCACAACAAAAGCTAATAGTCTAATGACCAATAGAAAACTTCATAACAAAGGACGATCACAATATCCCAAATTAATAAGCGAGAAAAATATTGATCATACTAACTTTGTCAACGATTTGCAACAAGGATTTTTTTTTTAACCGATATTCACTGTATTTTCGGCGTGTTAAAGATCTTGCTTCCCATAGCGAACATGACTGAAATCTGAATTAATCCTTAGGTGATATCATGATTTTGATTTCGTAAGTGGTTTTGACAATCCTATGTTGGACAATAAGATTTAGGTCATGAAAGTTATTGAGATGATATTCTACAAGGAAATATAATCGCCTTGACAATGGAAAGTGAGAGGAAGGATAAGAGAAAATTGTCGAATCATAGTTTTTCTGCTAAGCCTTCTTTATTTTCAATCGATGAAATTTTGAGCCATCTTTTCCACTTGAATGAATGATCTCGTTTTGACTCAATGAAGATTCAAATGGGAGAACGAAGATCTATATCTGGTAACAACAATTGTTAGGCCGGTGGGGGTCAAGGCCCGTTCTCTTCCATTTGGCAAGGACCTTCAAATCAGCCTGGCTACCCCGCGCCTCCGGGGGAACAGGCAACAGGCAACAATTAGGACTGGAAAGCCCATCTACATGAGTCAGTTGTCTGATCACTGTCAGTCACATGGAATGCCCAGCAGGTGTTGCTCCCCACCAATAGATGGAGCCTTCAACTGTGGA